CCCCAAAACCCCAAAACCCCAAAACCCCAAAACCCCAAAACCCCATAATCTGAGTTATGAATTGAAAGAAATATTATATTTTTAGAATAAGATCAGTATTACCAAAGATTTTGGTATTTTATACAATAATAAAGATATGATAAGCACCGGATAAGGCTACTCTGTTACATCCTGAATCGAAGTGCAATCGACCTCGCTTGAGTCTTCAGATTCCAAACTAATAACTAGGCTCCGGCCTTGATTTGTGCTTTCTTGCATTTGTATGCAGCTATGAGCTTCTTAATATTGTAACTAACATAACGAAAAACATTAAGTCTATGACAATTCAGATGATTCTATTGGTTCTGAGTCAGTGATGTCTGTTGACTCCTTCTTTAAAGCTCAGTTAGTTGTAGTAGTAGGTAGGAACAATCACAAGATGCAAAGAGTGTCCAGAATCAACATCAATGCTGGATTTGGCTTTGGAGCCAATGTATCCTTGGTAAATGAAATGAGATGATCTTATATTTTACTGGATAAACATTTGTACTTCAAGTTCATGGGCTTGGATATTTCTGAGTCTAAGAAGTTTGTTTTGTGATTCGAACTCTGCAAATTTTCTGTGGTTCTAAGCCAAGGATATTGACTTCTGAGTAGTTTGATAGGTTGGCATCGTTTATAAATTTATGATCAGCTAACTCAGAGTATAATGGTGATCGCATACGTTTAAAGTGCCACAAAGCAAGTAATGTATACTTCTGATTGTATCATCTGACATTACTCTTAAGACTGAAGCTGTTGGAATTTGACCAGTGGATTTTGCTGTATTGTTGCCTCCATATTTGTCAGATGTATCAAATTTACTACAACAGTTCCTTTTGTACGGACGAAATGAATCTTTGCGAACTTTGCCATAAAATGTTGCACAAGTGTAGTATTGCTCTGGAGTCTTGATCAGAGTTGTATCTGTATCAAACATAACTCTATCAAAAGAATATCCTTCTATATTTGCATTAGTTTGACAAAGAGCAGATGCACTAGGAACACCTAAATGAATTTGAATTTCATATATTTGTACCTACATTTCAATCTTTATATGCTTATATGGGGTTTTGGGGTTTTGGGGTTTTGGGGTTTTGGGG